CCTTGAGCCATCTCTCCAGCCCTGCTAGTGTGTTTCTACGGGATTGAATTTCATGCTTTAACCCAGTCTTCTACCTTCCTAAGCTCACTTATGAACACTCAGACTGTTTGAGGGAGCTCTTGGGATTTCCACAGACTTCTGTGTTGTCTATCAGTAGGGACGGTTGTATTTTCTGTTCTCTAAACTGTATGTCCTTTATTTGTCTAATTTCTTCTCTGTGACTGGGACTGTTGGAGTGAGGCTGAGTAAGAAGGAAGAGAGTGGACATCTTTGTCTTGTTTTTGACTATGAGTCAAAGCTTTCAAACTTGGCTTTTTTTTTGGTCTTTTTGAGACAGGGTCTCCCTGTAACCCCAGCTGCCTGGAACTCCCTATGTAGACCAGGCTGGCTTCGAGATCCACCTTCTTCGGCCTCCCAAGTGCTGGGATTAAAGGTGTTTGCCACCACACCTGGCTCAAATTTGTTTTGAGACAGAGTCTCATGTAGCCCAGGCTGGCCTCAAACTCAATAAGTAACTGAGATGAGCCTTGAACTCCTTCTGCTTCCGCTTCCCAAGTGTGGGGATTACAGGTGTGCACCACCACACCTCAGCATGACGGCTCTTCCTAGGCTCCCTGTACTAGGTTTGATATGTTCTCTGTGTGTCTGTTTCCTCAGTGGCTGCTGAGTTCCACCGAATCGTTGCTATGACCATGTTTTTCTTTCTTTTTCCAGATATTGTTAATATAGCGGCTACAGCCGCTTTATTTTCATACCCTACAGCAGCCTTGCATTCCTCTCTGACCTGCATTTGTTTTGTTACACAGTTGTCTGCTTCTGTGTGGTTGAAGGTTTCAGTGTTGTTTGGCACTGGGGTCTGCTTGACTTTCTTGCTTTCATGGGTAGGCTTCCTGGTTATTTGAATGCTGAGTGACTTGGGACTATACTCTGCACATTTCGGTGCTGTGCTCTGAGGCTAGGCCTGTCCAGTCCCACTGAGGGAGCTGATGGCTATTTCAGCACGCAGCTGTAGTTGGGCTTGGGTGGACAGTCGTAGGCAACTCTGTGGGTTATGGCTTTACAGAGCCTTGCAGTGTCCCTTGGATCTCTCTTGTGTGTAGGCTATGCTGGGTCAGTACAGCTATCCTCTGTCATCAGTCTTACCCTATGGGATGCTGATTATGACCAGACCCATGCATGCATATTTGGGGGTTAGCAATGGGGTTACTTTCTAGGTCTCCTCTGTCTTCTGTCCCCGGGGGGATCACATTTCTTCCAACCTCAAGGAGGCTGCTCTCCCTCGGGGCCTTAGGTGTTTGTGAACTGGGTGCTGACCCTGGCCGCAATGGAACTGCAAAGGGCGGTGAGAGAGCAGAGGTAAGTAAAACAGCCACCACCCCAAATCTCCCACATGAAGCCACTCCCAAGTCATCACCCCCCAGGGGATTCTGCTCTGTGAGCAGTGGAGACTCTTTTCCTTCCTGTCCCAGAGCCAAGCAGGGGCTCTTCCTGGAGCTTTCAGCCCATGTCTGGACATTTCTGGCTTAAAGGCTGTGGGAGGAAACCCCAGTTTAGTGGTGCTTCAAGTCTGGGCCCCAGATGACCATGCTTTCAGAGAGTGCATGTGTTTTCTGTCCTGCGTTTCCGTACTTCAGAGATAGGATCACCCAAACAGAGCCTAGGAAATGTAGGAGAGTGTAGTGACCAGACACATTCAGTACCTCTGTTCAACTCTTCCTGATCCATGGGTGTGGGTCTGAATACACCTCTTGTTCCAGGCTGTCCCAGAGCACACAACGGGAACCCTGACGGTTTACCCTGTGCAGGTCCCACATCGCAGTGTGCTATGATCAGGCCAGGAAAACCAAATGCCCATCACCTCACATGTGATCCCTCGCTTCTCTGTTTTGGAGACAGAGTCCTGGCTACTGGCCACACTTGAGTCTTAGGTCCTCTCTGTGCACACACGGTGACACCCAAGATGACACAGCAGCTCTGACTCCCCTTTGATAGTCCAAGGCTGTCTGTACCTTTTCTCCACCTCATGACTGCGGTGGGGCTTGTGGGAACTATTTTGTTTTTGTCATTTTGGATCTGACTGGTCATCTTAGTCTTTCGATGAGAACACTTCGTTCCTGTACACTAGCTGTAATTACTTACTGATGTTTGGGCTTAGTCTGCAATCGCTTTGGTTTTTGTCAGCTCTTCTGTCTCTCCTTTTTTCCTGAGTCTCCCTTTGGGGTATTATCTTGTCCTGTGTGTTAGATCCTGTGTGGCTTCCCTTTAGTGCTTACTCCTGAGACCACAGTGCGTGTCTTACCTTGTCCAGGATCATCAGACCCCTTCTATCCTACATGCTATTATTGACTCATGTTTAAATCAATCTCTTTCAGCACCTTATTATTTCTAAATAAATTTAAAATTCTTATTTACATTTTAATTATATGTGTGACTGATATATGTGTGTATAATATTTATGTGAGTGTCCACATGTAGGTGTTCCTGTGTGTGACTGCAGGCATGCACATGCCAAGGTGCATACATGGGGCCAGAGGATAAGCGGGATCCTCACTCTCCGCTTGCTTGGGGCAGGGTGTCTTGTCCTCTGTGTATGCCAGGCCACTGGACAGTGAGCTTTGGGGGCTCTTCTGCCTCCACCTTTCCTCGCTGTTGGGATGACAGATACACGCTACTGCATCTGGCTTGATTTAGGTTCTTGGGATCTGAACTCTGGTGTGGTAAGTATTTTATCCACTGAACAACCTTCCCAGCCCTTATTATATTTTAATATTTTATTTATTATTTTTATTTTCTGTGTATGCGTGTATTGCTTGCATGTAGGTAAGTGCACCCGTGTAATGCAGTGCCCACAGAGGACAGAAGAGTCTGTTGGATCCCCTGGAACTGGAGTTATGGACAGTTGTTAGCTGCCATGTGGGTGCTGGGATTCGAACCTAGGTCTTCTGCAAGAACAGTATGCTTAACCACTGAGCCATCTCTCCAGTCCCCTAGCCCTTATTTTTAATTAATTATTTTTTGTGCCACTATATCCACCTCTATTAATTAAAAAAATTTTTTTAAGCTGGGTGTGGTGGCATATGCCTTTAATCCCAGCACCCAGGAGGCAGAGGCAGGAGGGTCTCTGTGAGTTCAAGGCCAGCCTGGTCTATGTAGTGAGTTCCAGGCCAACTGGAGCTACAGGGAGATCCTGACTCAAAAAAGACTTATAAAATACATATATATTATATATTATAAATATATATATTATATATAATAAATATATATTATATATATATATATACACACACATTCACAGGATATTGTCATGCTATGGTGATGTGCTGGCTTCCATGGTCTTTTACATGGCTCATGCCTCTGTGCTTTCTGGATTTATGTGGAGTTAGTTCAGATCAGCAATTGCATTGGTTTCTCCATGTGGCTATAACAAACCACTAGACTTTTCACTGTGGTGGTGTATGTAGGCCGAAGAGCCTTAGTGGGCTAGACTCAAGGCTGAAGCCCTGAAGTCTGTGTGCTACCTTAACCAGCTTCTAAAGGGTCCACACCCCTGGGCCCTGGGCCCCCTTCCCCCATGAGATCCTCTGCCACAGGTTCAGGGATGCTGGCATGGTGCGGAACACTGAGGCAGGCTTGCAGGGTTCAGGTGAGGGCTGGGCTAACCATGGCAGTGGGAGCTAGGATGGGAAGGAGGAGGGCACAGTCCACAAAGGACTGAAGTGGGCTGCCTAACCCTCTCCTTCCAACATGCTCCTCTCAGCCTTGCCTGGGTGCCAGGAGGTGTTGCTGTTAGGGTGTGAGCCACCTCCTCCCATCCAGTGCTCTGAGCTGCCACCTCCTCTCTTCATGGTGGGTCTGGCCTGGCCATGGTCCAGCACCCTCTGAGCCCTGAGGCTCTGGGGATGTGAACTGTTCATTGCTGGATGTTGGGACTTTTCCTAGCCAAAGGGAGCTTTGAGGTCCTGTTGGCAATTCTTAGGAGGACAAGAGTGGGTTGGTGTGGGGGCCGGTAGCTCTCTAGTGCCTGGTCCCTATCTATCCTGGGTGGCTCACTGTGGCTTGCTGTTCTTGCTTCCTACGAACTGGATGCTTGCCAGGTCCCAAGGGCCAGAGGAGGGTCATAGACTGGCCATCAGCACAGAATCCACCTGCTCAGAACTGGCCACCAGTGGACCCAGTGTCCTGTTCATGGCCAGTGCATGCTGACCTGGAGGGAGCAAGCAGGGGTCCATCTCTTCATTCCCTTCAGCTCCCTGCCCCTCTGTGCTTGTTAGAGGGAAGCTGCATCCTCTGTTGACCAAGAGCCCCATGGCTGAATTTCTCCCATGGGGTACAGCGCTGGGCCGGGACCCAGACCCTACCACGTGTGTCCCAGCGGGCCACTGCTGAGGTCTGACCAGGAGGGCCAACAGCAGCTAGCTGGACAGTCAGCCACGCCTCTGTGGCCCCTGCCGTAGGTGAGCAGGGTCACCTTAGTAGCACCAGGGTCTGAGTGAGCCCGGAGAGCTGCAGAGAAATTTCAGGGTGTGGGGAGGACTTGGGGGTCCCGCTTGGCGATTCTCTGCTGCATGATGAGGCCAGGTGGACAGACCTCTGGGTCTGGGGTGGACACCTGATTATCTGGCTTCCAGTGCCAACTGTCCTGGGCGCTGGAGCTGCACAGAGCTGTCGCCACGGCAACCCGTGTTGCGCAGCGGCTCTAGGACCCTTGTCTTCTCTCGGCTGGGGTCTGGGAGCCCGGGGGGCGCGGGGCGGGGCCTCGGCTGGGGGCGGCGCCAGCGGCGGAGGG